TTTCCCAGACCTATCCCTAGGTTTCCGGACATAGACTGGCCAACTGGTTACAAGCAATGAGACGGTAATGTTAACCCCTATTCGTTTTTGAGTAACTTGTCAAAAAACGGCTCCAGCGAACGGTTCGAACTTAGTCCGACAGACCTTCGCACATTTCTCATTAGAAACGGAGCCAAGTTTAGGCATTCGAGAAGGACCTAACGTACAGGTACTACTTTTCAAAATTAATAAGTCAGATCAGAGATGATCTGGACTCCTTTAGCGAATGCTTCTATCAAGAAAAGCGAAAGAGCTAGTGGCTGACCAACCAACCGGGCGAGAATCTCAGAGTCAGCCAATAACGCGCTGGTGCACTTTTCAACAAACCCTGCTTCAAGCTAAGGACAACTTTCTCTGAAGCTCAGATGGGGGAATGAATTCGGAAACGTACTTCGGCGATCCGAAGACATAAAAGATAATCATCTAAGTTGTACAAGATTTGCTCTTTACAAGATTTGTTGACAGATGCAAGGTTTATTACTGGCATGTTTATTGAATGTTTGTAGAATTATTCAGGGAGCAGTCTGCGACTATGAACTTCTTAATTAACCATTATGTAACAGTCCTAATCTCTTTAATTGCATCAGTAAGTTTTAGATTTCTCAAATTACCTGTATAATTAGTAGAACTATAACCGCAGCACTGATGACGCTACAGTAATAAATGCTATAGTCAGTTCTAGCAACTGCACCGATTGACTGTGGGCAGGCCAATGATAGGCCTCCATAGAACATTACCAAGTGTCCGACACTTCCGCGGCACACTACGATCATTCTACACCGTCATGACAGCGACATCTCGATTTATAGCAATAGAGGAAAGAAAATTACGTATGACACGTTTTGAAGTTTGTCGAGTTCCACCGTGTACACCACCCTAAAAGAAAATCTCATCTTAGGCACGTACATTATGGATTTCTTTCGGTCAGTTTTCAGCACTCATAAGCAGACAAGAGACGATGTGCGTAATCGAATCTGAAGGTGGCATAACACCACTCACATCTCCGTGACTTTACTACATACAGTAATTGATTAATTCAACATTAAAGCTTTTTTAATTTATCAAAATGTGTACCTGGAGTCTGAGCGGTGCTAAACGTGGAATTAAATTCCTTCTCAAATGCTCATCTCGGCACCTGTTCATAGGCAAGCAACCAGTTTTGACATCAACTAACAAAATAAACTATAACATAGTGCATTCATGTTCCGATCGAAGGGCAGCTTGATATCAAGCGAAACACAGAAAACCGCTACTTTACTGAAGCAAAACTGCAGGTCACCCGCTTTAACACTGTACGATAAATTTCGACTTACTGAACACAAAAAAACGGCATTGCAGCAAATCCATTAACCAAATTGCAGAAAAAATAATCAGAAGCATTCTCAAACAACCAGAAGTGTCTTTGGCATTTTATTTGCACAAATGTATTACTACAAAAAACTTGCTTATTTCATCAATACTATAGCAAAGCTGTGTTCTGTTTATCGCAAATCAAACACAAAGAAATAGCAAACATGCACAGAAATGGCAACAACTGCTTGGATAACTAATCAAGTCAAAAATATCGTCTGAGCGAAAACGAAAATGACACAGAAACGAAATCAACGCATGTGACACCATCAGAAAGATTTAAAGGAGATCAAAGGCAACAGCATTACAGTTACAGACTACCGGCAAAAGAATTTCACAGTTGCGAGATAGCAGTTTCTAAATCGAAACTAGCGTGTAAATCATACTAAAATAGAGAACGTTCATTGAGTTTAAGGAAAATAAAACCAAAATATAACCTGTAAAGGTAGTAAAAAAATGACACCAGGTAGAAGCCGAGTTTGATACAGCCAATACGCATGGCACTGTTCAAGATATCTGCATTCATAATGGTAGTTGGATCGTAAAGGCCAGGAACGCTCATTTTCGGACGATTCATATATCTAAAGCGAAAAACGTCATAACGGATATGACTGACTGAACACAGAAAATCATTTTTAACTTAAATTTAATAATTAGTTCAAAATAAACTCCGTTATTATTGGTGTGTTATGAAACTGCTAATTTTCGATACCGCCGGTAAGGTTTTCTGTCACCTTTCAAGATTTGAACAGCGTATCATAATCTAAGGATCGTTTAAGCAGACCATGGGTACAAGGTATTTTAGCAGTGGTGCACAGTAAATACTGTATG